CAGGTTCTCTGCCAAAGCAGCAAGTACTCTTAACCACTGAGCCATCTCTCTGTTTCCCACATTCCTGAAATATCACAGTAGCTGTGATTACCTGCCAAGGATTGGGCCTGTCACCCACATCTTGGAGAGAGGCGGGGCTCACAAGGCTCCACCCATCCCTGAGGAACTTCAGCTAGTTAATGGTTGCCCTGGGAGGGAGAGGCACGTTCTTCACTGGTGTAGCCACTGGTCAGATGACCTTGTTCCTATAAGCAACCCTAATGGAGTTAACTGGGTCACACAGACAGACAGACACACACACACACACACACACAAAGTAGAAAGGGCATTAGGAAGAAAGAAGCAGATCAGCAAGAATGGGAGGGGAAGAGAGGGAAATGCTAGGTACATATGAAGTACATGTGTACAAGCAGGGGAATGCCACAATTAAGCCCATTATTATGTAATTATGTGTAATTGACACATGCTAATAAACACACCCACAAAAGAAAACCCACAAAAGGTAACCTTGGTGGTTGCCAAGACTGCTGGGAGGAGGAATTGAATTGCTTAGTGGGTAGTTTGGTCTCACAAGATAAAATATGAAGATAGGTTGTACAGCAAAATAAATAGATTGATGGTACTGAATTGTGTGTTTAAACTAGTTAAGACAGTAAGTTTTTTTTTTTTTTTCCTTCAAGACTCACAGAGATCCGCCTCCCTCTCTCCCGAGGGCTGGGATTAAAGGCGTGTGCCACCACAGCCTGGTTATTTTGCCTAATTTTTTAGTAAAGAAAATGGCTTAAAAGTCACGTATGGGGCTGGAGAGATGGCTCAGCAGTTAAGAGCCAGGTTTGGTTCCCAGCAGCCATGTTAGGTCATACCCCTCTAACTCCAGTCAAGGGATCCAACACCCTCTTCTGGACTCCATGGGCACCAGGCACACATATATGGTGCATAGACATACATGAAGGCAAAACATTCATACATACAGAAGTAAATAATAATAAACACTAACTAAAAGTGAATTTTCAATAATTCCTTAAAAAACAAAACACTTAAACTTAAAAATGACTGGGAGTGGTGAGTAGGGGTGCAAAGTAAAGAAATTCCCAAGAATCTGGGCATGGTGGCATACATTTGTAATCCTACGCTTGTGAGGCAGAAGCAGGCGGATTGCTTGGAGTTCAAGGGCAGCCTAGGCTACAGAGTAAGACTTTATCTTAAAACAAAAACAGAGCTTTTGGAACCTTTCTTCGGCTCACTAGCCCACTTTCCTTTTGGGGAGTGCTTTCCCTTTCTAGTGCCTCTATTTCTCTTTCTTTCTTTCTTTTTTTTTTTTTTTTTTTGGGGGTTT